GTTTCACGCTCCTTCGTTTCCTTCGTAGGAAAAGTGGACGGAAATAATTTCACGATGCATTTCCTAATTTCGTCTCGAGGAATCGTATTCCCTTTTTTCGAATACGGGAATACGAGACGAATATATTTCTGACTTCAGTTTTCGGTCGTTGCGCGCAAAAAAATATCGATTTTTCGTAGAGAAGAAAAAGAAGTAGAAGAAGAAGAAGAAGAAGACGAAAAAAGAGAATATCTTCGTCGAGAAGTTGATTGGGGGAACAAGATGGAGCGGAGAGTTCTCCTCGTTGAAGAACACTTGGACACAAGTGCTTTATCGTTTTGATACGTTCGATCTGTTGGAACTGTTGAACGCGTGAGATGTTTTTTTCTCACATAAAGAAAGTCGAGGAAGAAACGAAGCAATGATACTCGATACCCAAGAATGAGACTCTACTTCTCGTAACCTTTGAACTAATCGACCTATCTCAAGATTTCAATGTAATTTTACCAACTCTCGCGGGGTTGGGAATCGATTAAAATATACAGAAGTTTCGGTGGTAATTTTCTGGTAGCAGGAATAAATTTGAGATTTCGAACGATGCAAACGAAATTTTACGAACTATCCAATAAAACGTTTATATCGTTGGATTTACGGAAAGATTTTCGATACTTGCTCAATTATGCAAGCTTCTTCCCGTATTACGCCCGATACTACCGATACTTTCACTCTGCAACATTTCAAAAATTTTAAAAGAAACATCCAAGATTTCTATTATCTTGAAGAATCTTTTCTTTATTTCCTGCTTCTTCTACTTTGTGGAAGAAAGGCAAGGTATGGAACGCACAAGTGGCGACGAACGGAAGCACGAAATATCCGAGACATTCAACCCATTATATACCTCCCGATTTTTTTTTTTTTTATACCGCTCGAAAAACGACGAGTCGAGAAAAAATGGTGAAAATTCTTAACCTGTTGGATCACGACAAGTCACGAAAGGATTTTTAAACAACGGGGCATATTATACACACGCGACGAAGTTTAAGTAGCCTGGACACGGAACAACGGTTTGAAGGAAGAAAAGAAGCGAACGCGTGTGTGCACGTGTGGAGGAGAGAGGAAATGTGAAAACGAAAAAAAAAAAAGAAAAAAAGGAAAAGAGAAAGAAAGAAGGAAAAGTTTACGTGGCGTGTACTGTTAACCACGGGGGCGGGGATGCATTTTAGGGATGGAAGAGCGACATAAATGTCGAAGTTATGCCGCATAACTCGCACTCCCGAGGCCGTATATTAATGAGAGAGTTAGACGATTCTCGTTCCACTCTGGCGGAGTAATTTCGAGATTATTTTCGACCGCTCTGCTAGTTTGGAAAAATTTAAGCTTCGCGACCGCATCCGTTAATTGACTATAATTCAACTGGCCGGTATTAACGCGACGAAAATCGAATAAAATCGTATCGCGTAAATGGATGGTCCACTGCTCTCCATCGTTGTTCGCGAATATCTCTGGTCACAAAATTATCCCCTTAATTATGAGTGAAATTTCATATTAATTTTTCGCGTGTATTATTTATCGTTTCGTTTCGCGATAAATGTAATTATTTAAGAAGGAAACACGACGTAATGTACACGTGGACGAAAACCTCGTTTTTTTCGTAATCGACAATGTACTCATATTTTCGGTGGAAAATCCAATTCGTAATTAAATATCATCGAAAACTGTTTATATTCATACATACAAGCGATATAATTAGGATTAAATTGGATTAGATTTTTTCGATATCACGGAGGAAGAAAAAAAGGAAGAAGGTTCGCGATATCATGGTACATCAAATACACGGAGAGGAGAAGGATAGTTTTTGCGGTAATTCAACACGGTCGTGGCTGCGTCCCGCGCGGCAAACAAAACATTCGCGATAAATTTCATCCCCGAGCGTCCCCTCGGTCCAGGCGGAATTTGCAAAGGCGGTCGATCATCTTGGAGAAGGTTTGATTAATCGCACCCTCGTCAAGCGATTTCAGAATGTTCCATCCAACCGCACGAATTGCACGACCGACATACCCGCGAGAGCTGACCGCCCATAAATTCCGATTAACCGCTTTCTTTAATGAACTGGCCGCGAAACCAGCGCTTTCCCCTCCGATTCCAATCTCTCTCTCTCAGGGAAGCTCTCCTCTTCCTCCTCCCTCTCTTCCATTTCACCAAGCGGATCACGAAGATTTGCAGGACGGAGAAGGCCTCGGATAGGATGGAATACTACGTGACTTTTAAGTGGAAAGTTGGCAAGGTTTTAGATCTCACGTGTTGAAGCGTGAGCACGGATAAAAGGTAACGTGGCCTGCCAAGTAAGCAGCGTTTTTTTTTTTCACCGACTCTTGGGTCGGTGACGCACACGCGCGGTTAGAGGAGATCGATCGTAGCTGAATTTGCGAAAGTTTTCGCGCCTCGAAAAACTCGTTCAGATTTCGATGAGATCCCACTAATTGTCAAGTGTTGCGAAAGGCGTGAATAGATTTCGATTATGTAATGAAAATGAAGAAAGATGGTGGAAAGATGGATACGATGATACGATGTAAAGTTTATTAAGATTTAGTTGGATTGAAAAATATTCGTTTCGAATTCAAATTGTTGGAAAGAAGGGAAAGGGTTTGGCTGGATGGGAATGGAGGAAGCACATCAACACCGCGCATTTGCGCACAATACAACCGCGCAAACATCTCGACTATCCGTTTGCACCGTGATCGTATCAGTTCCATTGTTTTCTTGGGTATTTGCATAGACCCAATATCCTCTTAGCCGCGTTCTAATATAACCGTGGATGCAACAAGATAATTTCTCCTGGGAGTAACAGCGTTTCGATACTCCTTCGATACAATTTCGATATCTTCGTCTAATTCGAAGTTACTTCGTGTTGGTGAAACAAGTCGAGCTTAATAAACGAGCTTTGATTGCCGGCCTGTTGCGCCCTAGAAATATCAGATTCCGCGAGGAATTGGATTTTTTTTCTTTTCTTTTCTTTCGCATTCGATCACCGTTCCAATACCGCGCCCCCCATTCTCTCGAATCTTTTCGCGTTTTTCCTTCCTTTTTTTTTTTTTTTATCTCCAGAAAGATATCCAGCGGGGAATTTAAACGGGACACGTATGCTCATGCACCGTGCAAATCGTGGCTTTAAAAACATCACACCGCGTTTCCAGAGCGCGTACACTTCATTACACTATCGATTTCAATCGCGCGCACGCCACCAACCACGGCCAGCCAATAGTTATCGGATAAATCGTGGACAAAAGTCTGACATTGGCCGGTCGACGATTCACTTGAAATCTTTATTCGACCGTGTTTCAATCGACGAGGAGGCGAACAATTTATTTATTTATTTATCTTTTTTATTTGCATATTTTTTTTTCAGGAAATTTTCTACACGTTCGATACAACGCGTTGCCAGGAGCCTGATCGAATTCACGAATCGAGAGACCTGTTTTGCCATTACGTGTTTGCCGTTACTGTACCGTCAACCACGTGTAACAAACCAGCGGAGCAGCGTAAAAAAAAAAAAAAAAAAAAAAAGGAAAAAAGAATATGGATTAAAAAAGCCACAGGCCGTGAAAATCTCGTCCACGATGGAGCGCGTATTTTTGTGCACGCTATTTAGGTCTCGCGGATGGCGTGCCATCGTGAGAAGTTGCATCGAATGTAAAATCACGGGGCGTGTTTTTGTCATTTTTTCTCTCTCTCTCTCTCCCTTTTATTTTTCTCCATTGTGAAACACGCCGACGTTAATTCGACGATATTTATTCGAAAAAAATTCCGACCACGGAATATTCCACGTTGATACGTTTAAACTCGAGTGAAAGGAATCGATCGTTTGTACATTGTATATCGTTCTCTTCGATTTCATACTCGGTTCGGTTGCTTCGAAGAATCGTCTCGAAATTTTTGTCCTCCGGATAAAATAAAGAGTTTAAGAGTTTAAGATGAGAGTTATTTACGCGCAAGAGAGAGCAGGATAGGAAAGGATGGGATCGAAACGACGTTTTCTTATTCTTTCACTTGTCAGACAGACTTATGTCTGTCGTGGGAAATCGTTTTGATAACGAGACAAGCGAAACGCGATCAAAAGCGGGGAGGGAGGGGCAAGCAGGGATTTTCACCGCCTTTTGGATTTGCAAGAAGCGTGTAAACGCGTCGTATTCGCGTCAGTTATACATGTTGACGGAGGATGACTCGAGTGAAAACACTCGTTGAATATTTCGACTTGCCGCGTGTATCTGTGACGTGAATACGAATGAAAAAAAAATACGTGACTTCATTGGTAACTATCTCCTCGACACTTTCCACTTCTCCGAATTTTACCGCTTCGTTCTAATATTTATATCCTCCAGAAGAAAGCAGCAATGATCATTGCTAATCGAAAGAATTGAACGGTAAAAAATCGTCCAAATAGTGATACGAGTCAATCATATCGACGCGATGCGCCTTTCTATCCTTTTTCAAGAGCGATTCTCCGATCGATATTCAAATAAATTATCAACTACATTCCATAGAAAAGAAATAACATCCAGAAATCCCTCGTATCGAAAAAGTCAAATAATTCTCGATCTATCGAATCTAATCGACTTGGGTGATCCATAAGTAGCTCATTAGAGGTTGAGACGAAATCCGCACGTTCGTCACGCATGGACGAACCGATGACGACGACGACGACGACGACGACGACGACGACGACGACGACGACGACGACGACGACGACATACGTTAAGTCAATAGCAGCTGCCCACTTCTATCTATTACAGATGTCACGAGCCGAGTTTGGGCTTCTAGGTCAATTGCACATTTGGATCGAGTTAATCGGAAGTAGTAACCGCGCCACCGATTCTAAACCAGGAGAACAAAGGCGGCGATAAATTAATTAAAGCCCGATTTACCCACCTGTCCACGACCTTCCGTTCAAGATGGTGAATTTTCGATCGTGCAAAAAGATTTGCCGCTTTATCGCCGTTCAATCGGATAATGCAGAGAGGAAGCACGGTTGAACTCGTTTGAACGTGAACTTTTTACGGTCTGACGAGGATCATCTCATCGTACCGTGCGTTTCAAAATATTTTCCTTCCGTTTCAGTTTTCTATTTATAATCGGCTCGATGACGATGCGAAAAATACACCGCCATCCACCGAAACAATCGTGTGGGTTCTTCTTCGGTCTTCTTTCAGTCGAATTGCAATTAACTATCGTTAATTATAGATTAACCGACGAGGAGATTGCGATTACGAGTACGAATTTCATCGAGCGTTGGTTGATTTCGCATCGACGAAGAAAAGAGTTAAAGTGGATGGATGAACAGATCGAAATATCTGTAAGATTTTCGTTGTTTGTAATGTTTCGCTTTCGTGATTCGCTTCTGGCGCACACTCCTCTTGTTTCCTTTAAGAGGAGAGAAAGCGGGAAATTCTTAATAGTCGTAAAAATGTCGGAGTCAGAGACTCCGTTGTTCAAAGACGTTGCTTCCTTTAAAACACCGGTCGGCAGCAATTCCATTGCTCTCGTAATTAAGTTTCTTGATCGATCTTCTTCTATCTTTCCACTTTTAAAACGCGCTTCTTTGAAAAGAAGGTGGACAATGGAATGGAGGACACACTGTGGGAGGGAGGAAACTTTTCTACCTCTTATCTTTAATGAATTTTCCCCCTGTGGTAAACAAAAGCGACAAGTGTCTAAAGAAGAAGAGATAGGGAAAAGTGAGCTTGAGAAGCTTGAGAATTTGTTTCGTCGAGAAGTTGGTACGCGTGTGAATGGTTTCGAAATTCGGGGCCGTGTATGCGGGATGCTGAAGAGCATCGGAGTTTGAGTTTGAAAGCAGAAGGGGAAATAGTGGAAGTACTGAGTAGTTCGACTCATCCCTCTTACCGCACTTAATTATGACAAAATTAAAATTGTTTCATCGTGGACGCAAGAACTTCTACTTTCAAATTTTTCTCCGTCAATTTGAAAAGTTGGATTATCGAGATAAATTCTATTCTTCCCTTCCTTGGCAAACTTTGATCAACTTTGATCACGGGTGAAACACTTTTTATCGAAGCGAAAAATCGTTCCTTCTTCGACTTGACTCAACTTCAGTTTTGCAGGAATTAGATACAAGGAGACTTTTGCGAGTCTCTCGAGACTTATTTTTCTCGAGAGTGTGAAAATTACTATCCGATAACTCGCGAGGAATAAAACTCTCATGGAATGCAGTCCGAGAGAATGCAACCGTCCATTGGCGAAAAATATTCTCGAGATCAATCCATTTCAGGGTAAAACTCTCGAAAGTAATTTCTCACCAAGTGAATATTGCATTCATTCAGAGCGAGATCAACTTTTTTACTCTCAAACGTATTCGCGATGCTAAGAGATTGAAACTCTCTCTTAGCGAGTCTCTCTCGAGATATTTATTTATTATTTTCTTTTTTTTTTTTTTTTTTTTGTTATCGGACAACACCACTGTTGGAAGTGGATATTATTCTTGCGAACCATCACCGTGAGGGGGAAGAAAAGAAAATACCGCAGTGTTCACTTGTACAAAAAAAAGTTCGAGGTCTGTCATCCAGGATGGAATAACAGGCAGAAAGAGGACGAGTTACGAAGGAAGGGAAGAATGGCCGATGATTTATGGGTATCGCGAGTAAAATACGAAGCCTAAAAGATTAGATTTTCGTCTCTAACCTGATTTACATTCGACGCGGTTTACCCCGCCAGCTACGGTAAAACCAACCATCCGTTTCGTACGTTGTTAAGCATTATGTACAGAAGAAACCGCAGCTTCCGTTATACAGCTTCGCGTTTTAATGAATTTAAACTGCACGAGGCGGCGATTCATTCGTATTCAACGAGCCGTGCTCAAACGGGGGAGAATTTTCGTGCCGGTGGATGGTATGGTCAGGCCGAGAGAAGACACAGGTTTCAATGTATCAACGTCTGGTTGAAGGGTGGATTGATTAGATCCGTGTTGCCTCTCCCGCGGTAGTTGTTCTCCCTACGATAACATTTAACTGTCTTCTCCGAAGATTAGATGTGTTGTCTTTTGTTCCCTCTTCTCGCTGGAATCCTTGGCAGTTTCTCGTTTAAAATCTCCTCCTCGGTGAATCTCGAATTTCGAAACGTATTAACGAACGAGTCGTTAAACGTGAACCAAAAAAAAGAGATCGAAAAGAGAAGGATCGAACACCCTCTCTGTATTCTCTGACGGGCGGATACAGCGTATAACATTCCTTGGAAAGTATCGGGATATAAGAAATTCTTGCCGACGAAAGGAAAGAAGAATTGGAACAGGTGTCCACGGGGTGCGCGCAGTTTGTAACGGCTTCGTATTACAACCGATTTCCGATACGCGGTGCTGAAACTTTCCGTTGCTCGCTTGGATCCCTTGGAAACATTCTTGCACTCTTGTTGGGATATCAAGAGCCTCGGAATCGTGACTATAGAATACTAAGGTAGAATGCTAAGCCGAATTATATCCTCGGTGGAGGATCGGTGGAGAACCCTCAACGTCACTTCAATTTCGAACCGGCTAAAATTCCCCTCCCTCCAATCGTTCCCAGCCATCGATCACCTTCCTTTGCTTATCCATCCTCCTCCTCCCCCGCGTTAATCCACCCTCTGTTCTCTCGAGGGAGGATGCGAAGAAAATTCGCGTTAAATTTGTCGAACGGGTGGGTGGAGGAAGGACGAATAGCAAATAAAAGAGATATATATATATCTTAGATATCGGTCGTAACGCGAGCCGTATTTCAGTGGATCGAGTCGATATCGATGGAGACGGGTCGATATCGATGGGTGCAATTTCTTGAGCTGGGAAGAAAACGGTCGGGTATGGTGTGGTATGGAAAACAAGAGGACGACTCGATTCCATTCTGATGCAGTTGCGGCTGCGTTCATTGATATTCAACGGAATTTACGAGGGCGATAAACGTTAACGCCGTGCCACACCTCTCTTTCTCTCTCTCTCTCTCTC